CAGGCGGAGGGGAGGAACTGTCACCTGACTATGACCCCAAGTTGTCCTTGTAATTAACAGATGACCTTTAATGGGGTGTTGGCCTCACAAGCCCCGACCGTGGAAATGTCACATTTAACCAGACACCAACATATCCCGTGCGCCCGCCCACATACTGTATGCGCACATATTGATATGATATGCACGCATGTACATACACACATATGCAAATGTGGAACAATGTGGTAAATGTTCTGTCATGCTGTAAATGTCATCTGACTGTAATGTTTAGCGGCTGCCACTGTGGTCTTTTCAGATGGAGTAAGTGGGCGAGATTGAAGCGGACTGCGAAATATCAGCTTGCCACTATGTGTTGTTGTCTTGTACTGAGAAAAAAAAAAACAAAAACAGTCTGTTGAATAAACACTCATTTGAGGCTGATCTGTTAGGACTTGGAATCAAATCAAACAAATAACTGAGTGTTTTAAACAGGAAATATATCATTTGTCCAATACATTTTTACAGTAGGATTCTTGATGTGTTTTATGTGATCACATATCCTGCTCTTTGTCTTTAAAATGATCAAAATATCATTGCAAATACTATGTAACATGAGTTTAATCTAAGGCATACGTGTCAAACTCAAGGCCCGGGGGCCAAATGCGGCCCGCCAAGCCATTTTGTGTGGCCCACAGAGCATAAAAAGCATTAAATAAAGTCCATGCAGCAGTTTCTTAACCTGAGAAAGGTTATGAAAGTTTAGCTGCATGGATAAGCTGCTTTAATCTTGTGTTTTGCACAGACACAGTTGAAGTTGAGTAGATCACAGTGTGACCTGTTCAGTGTAACTCAGGCTGCTGTGATTTCTAGTGTAAGAGGAATGACTTTTCCTGTGTTTCTATTTCGACCTTTCATCCTGTCTGTAGCTGTGGTTTCCCTTTCCTTCATGTTTCCAATCTAGACAAACCCCAAACTCTTTGACAGTCCACTTATGGTGAGGTAGATTGATGTGTTTAGGGTCCAAGTGTCCTCTCAAAGATACACACTATATTAAAGAAAAGAAAGGAAGAACAAACACTGTCATACACTCATCTCTGACCACATGGCCATCAGGGAGCTGTTGTTAGGGTTAAGCTGTGGTCACTTCCTCAGCTGTCATATTTTTTTATTTAGACACTTTTATCTTTTCATCTTATTTTTTTTTGTTTACCTTCAGCCTCTGAAAAGATTGAGAAAAGTAGTTGTCTATGGAGCACCGATGGGTTTTCTCAGACGCCATAATAACAACCAGATACTTGCAGAACACGATGGAATAAATTTGAAATAGCTTTTCAAAAGCGACATAACAAATAGTTGTCAGCGCACAAACAAAGAACGGACCAGCTCCTGTACACAGTCCCCACACGCCCTGTGGATGTGGGAGCAGGCTGTTAGGGTAAAGTTGACGTGTTTGTTATTCATTGGCTCAGGAGCAGTGAGTGATTCTCTGTGTGAGCGTCGTTTTACTGTAAAGAGATTTAGAAGTGAAACTGTCGAGTTGGATCAAGAGAAACTGTGACAGCTTCTGAATTCTGAAGAGGTGTGTGTGTGTGTGTGTGAGGCTTTGTTGGATGTTCTGCACTGCAGCATAATGCTGGTGTTCTGATACACACACACACACACACACACACTGTCAAAATGTATGAACAGACACAATCACATAGATATTCTCCCTGCATCTTGTGCTCTGGTCATGCCTGCCTGACTTTCTCTCATTGTCTGAGTCTGGGATGAACACATACGCGCAAATACACACAAACGCACACAGACACGCGCACAGTGGCAAAAATTACAGCGCCGACGTGGACACATTCTTCTTTAGGTTAGAGGACAATTTGTTCAGCATCTGTGAAATTAGACATGGGTTTTCAATGTTGCCTTTTCAGTTCTGATCACCGTCACACAGGTGAGTGTGTGTGCGTCCGTGAGAACGTGGCAGTGTCTCTTATTTTGAAGAGTTCAACTAAGCTCCGTTGTTTGGTTTCTGGCTCCACACATGAATAGATGTAATGTTTATTTATGGAACACAGAGATGGGATTTGTGCTTCGTCCCCAAAACCAAATACTTTTCAGGCATGAGAGTCTCGGGCCTACAAGGGTCCTTAAGCCCAGATTGAATTGCTCTCCTACTTCCTTTTTATTTTCTTCCAGTGAGTCATTTGTTCACGATCCAAATTCAATGTTTAGGTTTAGAGAAATACCTCGTGTTCTGTAATGTGTACCAGAAAGGCGGAAAACACCTGCAGTAGTACTGCCTGAAGAGCAAGGCTCTTTCGATATGTCAGCATGTTGGACATTGAACAAGGCTATAATGTAATATGACAACAAACAGGTAAACGATACCACTCGTAAACAAACTGACGACAACGCTAGGATAAAAAAGTGGAGAAGACAGGGTTAGAATGAACATTTGGGCATTAGCTATTAAACACACACACAGTACTCATACAATATATACAGTAGAGCATACAGTATATATGTGTATATAAAAATATATATTTTAGTTTTATGAAGATTGCCACTGCTACCATGTTATTACAGGGCCACATATATGTTCGATATGGTCAACATTTAGATAATTTAGAGAAATACATTTTTAAATATACACATTGTATAATATTTTACTGTAAACAGCTAGCCCAGTATTTTACATTCCTAAATAACAAACTAAAGCATTGTATAATTCAAAACCAAAACCAAAACAAATGACTGATTACTGCCATCTAGACGTGGCCCAGATGTGAGGGGTTCATGGGCCAAAGTGGTCCCTGGACCCTGGGGTCTACATCATTAACACCTTCACACCTTCACTCCCCATGTTAATGTTGTGGATAGACTTCCTTTAATGCCATTTCATTTAGTGCAACGTTACACATGAACGCCTTCTCAGCTCTGCTGAAATCTGGTTTTTGGTGCATCAGTGTTTTTTGTCCACACAGTGACTGGTGCATGTGTTTATTTATGTTTAATTCTCTCTCTCTCTGACTGTTTACTTGGCTTCAGGAAGCTGTGTTTCTTTGTTTGCCTCAATACACACGGCTTTATGATATGTTTTTATCGGACTGTTACGTTTTTAATGCCACAGGCAATTGGAGAAGACTGTATCTAAACTTCTGCACCCGTGCCATTTCCACCAGAGAGAAATAAACTCTGCAGCTATTATTTTGCTGCATCCTAGTTCAGGGACTGCAGCAAATGTTTTTCCCCACAGATGTCTCTTTTACAGTACCTGAAAACCAGCCAAATACAGTGCTCTGCTCCTCCATATGCATAAAAAATGTTAATTGAGCTTTTTTTTTTTTTTTTTGCATAACACAACACAAAAAATTGCTTGTTGCTTTTGTGATATTTTACCACCTTAAAAATTATTCAGATTTTGCAAAGACTTTTGCAGGATTTGGGGGACACAGCAGACTGTTTATGAAATGACTGGCCTGAAATGGAATGAAAATGAACGAGATTACAGTTTGAAATAATAGCATGGATTTAATGGCTGTCTTTGCACATCGTAACTGTGTCATCTGGCCTGTCGTGTTAGCATGTGAGAAAGGGAACTGGGCTGTAAAGAGCAAACTGACAGTGAGACTGCTCCTTGAGTCACTTGTTGATTAAAAATGCAGTTTGATTTACACAGGACTTAAAGAAATTATTGAAGCTTGGGGAAACTTCACTCACAAAGTCCAACAGAAACATCAGGGATGTGTGAAAAAACCTCACATCCTTATGTTGGATAAAAGCGATGGCAGAAGAACAGTATTACTGTAGTAGTCCACATGGGGATCTTTAAACCGATGGGGAGTTTTAAACCGAATGCCCTTCCTGATGTAACCTTCAGGGGGCAGGCTAAGATTCTGCCAATGTACCACGTTAGATTTTTTTTTTACATAACTTGCATTTAAATGTTTTGAGTTACATTTAATGTAGTTTTTGAAATTGAAGAAAAAACCCAAACGTATGTGATGATGTCACAACATTAGCTTACTGAATGCAGAGGACAGGTGGTCAAGGATTTTGACAAATGCATCAGAATAACTGTGGTTTAAAACTTATTGCAAGTGGCAGGAACTAAGAGACATACAAGAACATGATGGTGTGTGTCCTCTGTAAATGTCTCCTGAGACAAAGTCCAGGCGACACTCCTGTGGAGATAAGGAGATGTTTAGCAGAGAGAGCAGGGCTTCAAGACCAGGTTGTTTATCACAGTGAGCAGATGAATGAAGAACAGTTCTGTTACGTTTTAAATAGCAGTGATGGACCAAACACAAAGCTGTCCAATTATTTAGTTACAGTTAGCCAGGCTCAGGTTTGAGGTCCAAATCTGTGAACAGTAGTTTGGTTTCCTGTCGACTAAACATTTATTTTTAATCTTTGAGAGTTCTAGAACAGAAGAAGAACAGGGATTGATTCTGCCTTTGTAATATGGGAAAAGTATATGATCAGGTACCAACAGATGAACTGCAGTACTGTCTGACAATGTCTGGAGATCCACAAGTATATACTGTATGAGTGAGGGGGAACAGTGAGTGTAAGAAAACTTTGAAGAGGATGAAGAGCGAAGAATGAATAGATACATCTCAGGGATGATGTGCGACAGGAGATGAAAAATTAAAAAAGAAAGGTCTGAAAGAGAGAAAGAGAGAGAGAGAGAGAGTACTTGGACTTGTATTAAAGGGGCAAAAATGGATGTGGCTGAGTAAAAGATGTAGAAGCTGATGGGCAGCTAAGACGAAGTCTAGAGCTGAAGTTACAGGGATGAGATTATAAATATATACTCTCTCTTGTACTGTAATATCTTACTATATTCTTCATATACTAAAGTAATGTTCTAAAGAAAAATACTACATTGGTGTGAAGCTGTATTCAAGTTATTTTTCTAACATGCCAATCCCATCATCCATCAGTGGTCATCTGTGTTGTAAGACAATGTAAACCGTACCAAGTCTTTTTAATTAAACAGCAAACACGTCTTTCTCACCACACAGGTCCAGGTCTTGGGCTGGAGCCTGGAGTCATTTGTCCCAGGCTGATGAACTGATGATGAGCTGATTTCTCTAAGTGACATCTTCACCCTCATTACCATAATGGAGTGGTCTCTTTCAACACGCTCGCCGCTCCAGGAATCTCTCATTTGTCTGACATATTGGCAACACGGAAAAGGTGAGCGCCACACACTGTCCATTATTAACAGCAGCCTGAGATCAGGAGAGTCCCAGCAATTGTTTCACAAAAGTGCTGTGATGAACAGATGATACAGGGGTGTTTCTTGAGCCTTGTGAAGTTTTGTATCTATTTTTAATTAAAAAGAAAAAGTCATTGATTGATAACATTCAAAGTTGTGGCTACATGGAGGTAGAGCGGTGTGTTCTCATGCTGTTCATGCCAAAGATCACAGGTTTAATCCCCTGTGGTAACTAATGGATTTTTAGTACAGAGTGTCATGTGAAGCCCTTGTGTGTGTGTGTGTGTGTGTGTTTGGGGGGGTCCAGAATGAACATGTAATGTTTGGACCAAAGGTTTAACAATGCCGACCACTCACAGCCAGCAGCTCTTTGAGCAGCAAATGTCAACAGTCCCTCCTGTGTGTATGGCAGCCTCCACTGACTGAACTGCTGCTCCAGCTGACATTCATATCAAGAGCAGGAACAGCACAGAGCACTGCTCTATCACAGTGGACTCATTACTCTGAACAGGTCCCCAAAACCAAACGCAATTTCTCTGAGAGCCTCTTTGGTGTCAGGGTTGGGGACAAGTCTTTCGTGTGTGTTCCTGTGTGTGTGTGTGTGTGTGTGCGCGCGCGCGTGTGCGTGCGTGTGTAAACCAAAGACAGGTATAAATCACTGCTCTCCCATAACCCAATACACTGGTACGGCTGAGTGTGTGCATGTGAAACACAGAGCTCCAATTAAGCAGCGGATCTGTTTTGTGTGTACTTAAAGAGTTTCCTGTTTATTTTTTCTCCCCCCTCGACCCCTCCCTGCCCCCCTTCTCTTTCATTAATGAGTCCAATTAGAACATGCAAATATTTACTTCTAACTTGCATTTGATTCATCACACTCCTCGACCTCAAAACAAACACCGCGTGTCATTTTGGTGTATGTGGGTGCGCGTTGATATGTGCATGCGACTTTACTCTCTTATTCATGAGCTCATTAGCGCCTCCTGTAGAGTAAGATCATCAGCTGTGCAGGGAGAGGAATCAGACAGAGGGGGCTAGAGGAGGAAGGTAACATCACTGTAATATTCAACTACTCAGACACACAAACACACACGCAGACACGCACCAGTCCTTGATTTAAGGTCCAACACCATCAGATTAATGACACCCAGCGATCACAGACGGCAGTGGAAAGACGAAGAGGAGGAGGAGGAGGAGGAGATTAAATAGAAGGGAACACAGATGTTCTTCCCGAGAGTTATTGCTGAAAGGTTCTTTAATGTGCTGCACATAGCATTTTACAATATTCATATATCATCAGCAAACATGTTATGATGCCTTGGTAGTTATGGAGTGAATTTAAGGTGGATTTCTTTTTAAAAATCTCCTTTTTTAATAATTAATTCTTCATTCTTTCTTTTTCAACTCTCAGCTTTTTGTTGCACCCCACACCACTGACTGTTACAGTGCTCTCCCCTTTAGATCTTTATTTTTTTATTTTCGCTTTTTCAGATCCATCATCTTCTGTTCCTCTCCATCTGTAGATGTTTTTGCTCTTCCCCTACGTCTCCTTGACTGAATCACACGACCACTTACTCACCGGTTCCCTGAGAAATGACCTTCCTTGTTTACACACACACCTGTTCCTACTCTCCATTAGCCTTGTTACCCCACTGTGCAGCTGTGACCCAATTCATGGACCGCAGCAGTAAATGGGGACTGCACTGAGACGGCCTGAGCCCACCACAACTCACACCACTGTTTAACGGTCTAGCTGTGGATACGTACGGACATCACTTCTCCAGCTACACCTGCTGTTATTACTCTCCTCTCCTAACTGGATTCCAGGGCAGGGATGCAACCGTTTGGTGTCTCCAAGACAAACACACTTGGAAAACAAAAAACAATATTGGCCCAGTTTTGTTTTTATGTCAAATTATCTTTACTTTCCAGATGAAATTTCCAGTGTTTCACAGCCAGGCTGTTTTGTTTTCATGGAGGTCCGCTGCTTTAGATTCCGTTTCTCTTGTGAAGCTTATGTGTAACATACTTCTGTTTTGAAGCCACTCGCCTCTTGGTTAAGAAACCTCCAGCTCCAGTTGGCATTTATCAGGTTTCCAGTGAAATTTGGCCTTAGAGGAGCTGGAAAGGTCTAGTTTGAATAGTTTATTAAATTATTAGCTGGACAAAGAAGTCTTCATCAGGCTACTACCATCCAAACCGCATACAAAGTAGTTGTTGAACCGTAAATGTATTCAACAATATATTCCAAAATAATATTTATAGTTTTTTTTGTAGGGGGGAAATATTTCAAAACTCTTGGGAGAAGTGAAAAAATCTTGGATAATCTATGCTTTATTGCCAGTGTGTTGGTGACCAGAGAGCAAATATGTGAGTTCACGGGAGTCCAAATCAAACACTAATATATTCAAAAGAGTGTACCAATTACTTTTTTATGATTATCTCTGACCTGGAGGTGGATGTGAAGAATGACAATTGGTTTTGCCCCATGTCATGAATATGATTTTGCAGTATGTGTGTGTGTGTGTGTGTTTACATGTGTGTATGTGTGCTCTGATTGAAATGCTGCAGCAGCATGATGATGATGATGAAGAAGATGATGATGAAGATGATGGCAGTGTGCTGTACTCCTCTCCTATCAGTTAATGAACTGTAGCCACTGTGATTCCACTGACGGCACCATAACTAATAAATGAATGATATAATGGTCTATAAGCAGCCATTGTACCTGCTCCTCTGCTGCTACGGCTAATCCTCCTCCTCTTTGTTTTGATATAATTTAAATTTCTTAATGGGAATTTAATTGTTGCCACACGTATCTGTAAATCTGAGGAAAGTGCTGATTACCAGGGGCTTAATGATACCTGTTTGTAGAAGGATGATGAAGCTCCCAACAAACATGTTGCATGGATTCATTATGCTGTGTAACCTCAGCCTGTCTAATGGTTGTTTATGCAACGGCTAATTTAGATGCAGTTTAGTCTTAGAAATTAACTGGAGCTCCACAGACATGGAGTTGAATCTCTCATCGTTTCTCTGCTCCTTGTGAACCAGAGGTTTGACACAAGGTTGTAGGGAGGGGGCAGAAAAGTGTTTTTGCCTCTGAATGTGTGATGCAACACGTCCATTTCTTAGACATCAATGATCAATCAGTGGTTTGACTCCATTTCCCAAAGAGAAGAATTAAAGTGGCGTCGGTGCAGGCACCCAGAAACCTTTTTTAATCAGACACCTGTGGCTGTAATGTCTTAGAAAACTCACAGCCAGTGTGTCTCCATTCTACATCCTGATGATCTTGTTTCTTGGGAGACATTTGATGCTTTTTAACACTTGCACAATGTGCCCATCTTGTAGACCCTCTCTGTTCCTAGCCTGTTATTTATCAGGTCTTTTGAGAGTGTGTCTCTCTCGAAGTTGCCCTGTTTTTTTTATTTTTCTTTAAATAAGAGAACCAGAGGTGAAGGAAGGGTTAATGTTCTGTAGAAATATAAAGTAAATGTAAAAGTCAAAGTCAACCATTGTACTTGACAGCTCAGTCATTAAGTTAACCACACACCCTTCTTTATCATTAGCAGTAATGTTGCAGCAGTCATCAGCTACTGTGTGTTTGTAGAGAATAAAATAATGATGTTCCCATGTGGAAACTACTGAGAGTAGATATTTTTCTGAAAACTTTGAAGTAAATTCAAAAGATTATTTAACATTAGCCGTTGACATTAGCCAAAATGCACTCAACTGCCACAATGCCTCTCTCAAGGGAGAGCTGTGATTGGCTGAGACCTGTGCCAGATTTATGACAAATCAGACACCACCATTTTCAAACACCCACGACTTGTCTAGGTATTTTAAATTGACCTAAAATTGCAACATTGAATAAATGTTTTCTCTTAAAGTTACTGCTCCTTTTCAGACTTGATTAGTTTGCACCAATTGGATGAAGTCTGGTGTCGATTGATCTGCTCAGATTTAGTCTGAACTCAGTGTTGATCGACTGATGCTGCAATTAACTGCAATTATATATGTGCATATGTATATGTGTGTGTGTATAAAACACAGAACTCCCCCTCACCTGTTTATCCCCTCACTTCAGCCTCCCTTCATTCTTTTGCTTGTCGCTCAGCAACCACAGGTAATTAATAAGCCTTTACAGTTCCATCTGATCTGCCTCAGGATTTGACACAGCTGATAAGTTAAATGGAATACACATGGGCTTGCCTCTCTGTCGCTCTCTCTCTCTCTCTCTCTCTCTCTCTCTCTCTGCTCAGCACAGCCTGGGAATATAATTACTTGAGAATAAATACGCATGAGCTCACACACGAATACACCCTTATAACAGAGAGTGACTTAGCCAAGGTTAACACCGATGTTTTTCCTCTTCTGTGCTCTAATCAGAAATGTACTGATGAGTTATTTGTCTGGAAGTTAGATGCACTGAGCACTTGTCGTCATTATTCAGAGACTCAGAAAGCGGGATAATTAAATCTATTTAATCGTGTGCCTTAGTGGGTGAATGTGTGCATGTTAATATCATGCTCTGATGCTTTTAATGGCTCCGCCACAGAGCAGGATCGTACTTATAAATGCCACTTAGACGGCCTGTGCTTAAAAGTAATCCATCTCCTCCGCCCACTGACAGTTGCCACACTTGCTTATCAATCTGCCCCATGGCCACACTCACCAGCTGTCAATAGGCTGCTGAAGTGGCTCTTCATAACGCCATCTCCAGGAAGAAGATGGAAACTGTCAGGGAATATCAGCGGTCGTGACGTCACTAATGTCTGCTGTATGAACGTGCTGAAACCTCAGAACTGATCTCTGTCCAGTATCTGAATGTGTTTATGGATCTGGAGTATTGAACATGCGGGAACATAATCCCATTCTACACATGCACTCACTCAGTGCTAAGAGCAGCACAGTCAGGTTTATTGCTTGCCGTGGCCATAGCAACAGCCATGAGCCGGGAAAGAGATGACTTTTTTTTTTTTAGTGGTGATTCAGTGAACGTCCTTGTTCTGATGAGAGAGGAGAGCTGGGGATGAAGACAGTCATGGATGGAGAGGAAGGGGGAGGAGGTGGAGGAGGAGGAGGAGGAGTGAAGAAGCTGTTTCCTCTGCACACAGGCGTAGTTTGTGACAGACAATTCAGGAGTTTGTCCTTTTCTTTAGCTGAGACTAACCTCAGTCCACATCAGAGCATTGTGATGTGTTGGTATATATGACGTTAGCTGATTGAGGACAGTAGATCGTCTGATTTCGCTGTTGAACCTTTTCTTTCCTTAGTAAACTAAAACACCTGTCAGTCAGATGTCCACATGAACACGTGGTTTTAGCCAATCCTAGACAGGGCTGACTGAGGCTGTCTGTGATGAGGCGTTTGCTGCATCATGTGTCCTTCATCATGTGTAATGCGTCATCACACCTGTAACATAGTCTAGAGTTAGATTTTTCGATTTCTCATAACGAAAGTGTAGTCAACCATTTTCTCTTATGTTTTTCCATTAGTTGAAAAACTCTCTTACCTTGGAGCAGTGGAGGAAATCTTGGATTAACACACGCTGTACTACAGAGTGTCTCATAATCAGACAAACCTTGATGTGTGTGGACAGTGAGCTGCCGTCTTTCTCACGAGTGTCACTCGATGACAGTGGTCTCCTGTTCCAGCTGTTTGAAGGCTGCGTCTTTTAAACTGTAAATGGAGGAGACTGGACAGTGACAGTCAACCGTTCATGTAAACCAGGAATGAGCACACGCACAGTAACATTACATAACTTCAGGTGGCAAAATGTTACCGTACACTACAGCTATTGTCAAAAATACTTTCATTATAACGTGGACGTGCATGTTTTACACTTGTTGACTGTTTTCCAGCTACATTCTGTTCTAGAGTATATCCAGCCTGTTTGGTCTGACAACAAATTTGAACCTTTGAATACTTGAAATACAATGTATTTGTCATTGTTGTTTTTGTAGTTTGTTACAGGCACAAACCTTAAATCACCACTTTGTCCTTCTGTCTTGGCTAAAGCACTTTGACCAAATACGACTTGGATTTTGATTGGAGTGTTCAATGCATTCACTTTTAGTGAAGTTTGTTTTTCATTTGATACAGTGATCACGGAGAACAGCTAGACCAAACAAATGTCATGTGTCGATCATTTCTGAACATCATATTTGCACTGTAATGGAATTGTGAAGGAATGTGATGGAGAACGTTTCTTCTCAGAGGTAGACGAGATAAGGAGGAGCAGGAAAGTCCACCATGAGAGTGCTGTTTTCTTGAAGTTACTAAGGATTCTGCTGTTTTTCTGTGATGTGCTAACTCTGAGTGAGTGAGTGTGAGGCAGAGCGGAAGGAGAGAGGCAGACGGGGAGGGGGACTGGGCTGCTGAGTCAAAGCTCCGCTGCGGTGTGTTTGAGCTAGCGACCCTTAGAGCTATCTGGTTGTATGCATGCCTCCAGCTCACTGTGCTGCACACTGTAGCCACTTAGCTCCTTAGCCTCCCTCCACCACTTCTACACAACTGTCAGCCGGCAGCTCCAGTGTGCTGTAGCTGCAGTGAGGCTCTGCCGTCTCTGAGTGTCTCTGTTTGCAGCTGAGGATTTTTGCCCTTGCAAGGATACTCTGCCTTTCTGGCAAAGCAGAGGGGTGGAAAAAAAAGAGGGAGAGACTCAAGAGGTAAGAGAAGACGGGGCAGAGTGACAGCGGGCCAGCAGTGACCTTCGAGGTGTGGGGAAGAAGAGGAGGAGGAACCAGGGACAGAGGGAGATCCATCAGGTGTGTGTCAGCTCTTTACTGGATGAGTAAGTTTACCGGTGCCGGTGACTCTGCATGGACCGGCTTGTCTGATCCTTTAAGATGAAGTTAAATAGTTGTGGATGGAGACACATTGACACCAAAGTATGAAAAGGTCTGGTTACAGTTGGAAGTGTAGAGCTGTTGGGAAATAACACTGACATGAATAAAGATCACTGTACAGGGATGATGTAGAGGAGATGACGGTCTGTGACTGGAGCTCATTAAGGATGTCATGTCATGTCTGTGTGTTTTTGTCCTCTGGGTTTTGACCTGGGCAGCAGAGTGAAAACGTTCTGTGTCCCAGACTGTATACAGCACCACTGTGTTCCCCAGGTGTCTGTGTGTGGTTGGATATACAGTGTTATTACAGTAGCAGCTATGGTGACCTGGTGTCCTCATTATTGTTTGTGTTTAAGGAAGCTGCCCTTCAGGTCACCTGTACTTACAGCCCATAATTGCACGGTGGCAAAAACAACTACACCTCTATTTATTATTGAAGAATGAACCCAGTCTGGTCCCCTCCTGGATTCATTATGCATTTATTTTTTATTCTAACTAAAAATCTTGGTAGTGAAATCAGTCATCAGATTACAGTCCATTTAATTTTAATCAGATTGTGTTTTAATATCACACTCATTCATATGTGTGGTGTCTACAGTCTGTGTACAGTTTGGTTTGTACTACTGGATGTCATGAACAGTTTTACTAACTAATGTTTTAGATCTTTTTGCTTCTCCCTCTGGTGCCACTGACTCTGTGTGCATGTCCAGTAATGCAGGGGGACAGATATCCAGTGAAAGATCGGTGGAAATGTCAAAAACACAAAGTGCAAGTCACTGTGTTACAGCCAGTGAGAGATGAGCTGCACTAAACACTGTATCTCTCTCTGTGTGTGTGTGTGTAGTGGGGATGGACTCTCAGTTGGTTCACTCTATCATCACAGTTGACTGAGGTAACAACCAGACGTGGACCACTCCGAATAATCCATAGACTCTGTGACTCAGCAGCAGACAAATACGTAGCACCTCGGTAGATTTTTGAAAAAACAAAATGCTAGTCTGACCTCAGTGTTGCTGCTGCAGACTGAATACTCAATGTGATATCAGTACTGGCACTGAGAAAATGTTTGCTGCAGTAGAGTATAAAAAGAAAATCATATTTTTAACAAATGTTTTTGCTGTTGTTTTCACATTTCTAAAACATTGTCACCTGTTGTTTCTGTGCACACGTCAGCTCACTGTAGCAGATAGACAGTCTGTCCTCCAGTCTGTCCTCAAGGCTGGGGAGGTCGGACCTGGTTGGAGCCAGATATTTCAATTGCCTCATCTGTTACTGCCTTCAAAGTTGGAAAATATTTAAGTTTCTTTTACAAACTTTGGAATAAATGATATTTGCAGGCTAACCTTTAATCAAATTACTGATAAAAATATAAATGAATGTTGTTTTTTAAACATTTTTGGACAACGTTGAGACAACATTTTTAACCAGACTTGAATGGAAACCTGTTAAAATGATAAAACGATTGGTTTCATTTAGTTCAATCAGATTATTTGGTTGAGTTTAAAGAAACAGAACGTCAGTTTAGTCACTAGAAAAGGCCGATGCACCACAATACTACAAAAAAGAAATTATCTGACTTTTTTTTTAAATTTGATGTTGATGTTGGACTTTTTTGTAAGCAGCAGCTTCATGGTCAAGTTAAAGACAGTGTTTTGGATGAGTTCACAGTCTTTGCTAAGGTAAACGACAGAATGCTATGATGTTGTTATAAGATATTTTTTGTTTCCGTCTTGATGTTGCTCATGTTTTTTTTTTGACATACTGAATAGTAACGAGCGGAGGTATTACATACACACTCATTTTTCCCATTACATTGTCCATGTGAATCCTGTAACTAAAGACTGCATCATGAACAGTGTCCTTTTGTGTCCTCTAAGAGACCTGGGACATAGTAAATGAGGGACGGAGGGACTGTAACCAGAGGCCGACGTCCCCTCATCTCTCCCCCTCTCTGCGGAGCTGCTTGGTGATATCATGGCTGTAATGAAGGCTCATTTATCTTCATCTTGGCACAGTCTCATCATTCACAGTGGGACTGCTGGGTTGGTGGAGCGGGGCTCAGTATGTGTATTGTGTGGTGGACGTTCTAACATGAGTACCAGATTGACGGAGCAATCAGTGATGCAGACACTGACCCTTTGAAGCACCTGTTGAGCTCACTGTCGTGGCAAATGAATAGTTTCACATTTGCTTTGGGAAAGGCCAGACTTTGTTTGGTCTGGACTGGGAGGACAACCTCTGAGCACAGGCTTAGATCGATAAACAGGTCCCAATCAGAGGTCAGGTTGAGGAAGCGTTTGAGCCGTAAGCACACGTCACGACCGATGAGCGAGGAGGGAACGTGTGAAAGGGTAGAGGCCGGACTTTGAGACAAACACACGTGAGGACACATGTGGTCAAAGGCTAAGTAATGCCATCATTGGCCCAATGTCCTCAACTTTGATTAAGAGGCTCTCTAAACACGGCCACACTCAGCACTGTGATAGGCCAAGGTCACGGTGAATCACAGCTCAACCCTGCAGATTGCTGCTTAACTCTGTCAGGAAAAGGCAGAATCTAATTTGGCCGAGGGGCTTCCTTAGCACTTCACATGAAGAGGACAATTTACCTCGCCCTAGAGCTCTCCAATGAAACGTGTGTGTGTGTGAGAGAGAGAGAGTAAATGTCTGTTGGCCTGCAGCCTGGTGGGATGAGTGTCTGTGTGCATGTATTTCAATGGGTGTGTCTGTCTAAATGGTTTTTTGCCCTTTGCTTCCTCTCTATTTCCCCTTTCAGTGTGTGTGTATGTGTGTGCGTGCCACGCAACTTGTCAGTATGTAGTAAGTGTAGTGTAATGTACTGTTTGTGATTGGCAAGCCATTGTATTAGTTTGGGAATAATAAGAGTGTAATAACTCAGTGACATTTCCCTCCACAGTGACTCCCAGGTAATCACATTTACACAACGCAATCACCGCCTCGCACGCCAGCGTCAGGACGGGACCACGCTCGTTTTCATTTCCTCTCCAACTCTGCTTATTTGCGCATGTAGTATGAGGCACTGTTGTTGCTGTTTGGATGACGGTGCATACTGTGTGACCCCCCCCCCTCCTCTCACCCCCCGACCAGTGCAGTATTTCTCTGAATTAGTGATTGTTCAAAACAAACCTAACTGTTTTGTCTCTGTCTCAATACCGTCGGATGGTGGGAAGATGATTCAACTCCACAGTCAATACATTTGATTTTCATAATTATACTCCACAGTGGGAAGAAATGGGGCATATTAGAAAATGTCACAGGTTGTTGAATCCTTGACGTCACCATTTGAATTCTAACATAGGGAAAACAGTTTTAATATACCATTATACAATATAACAGTTTGAATTCTAACATAGGGAAAACAGTTGTATATTTTATTCTACTCCTCTGTTATTTTAATATTGAAAAACAGAGTTTCTTTAGTTCTTAAAAAACACTGCTGATTAAAAACAGCCTAATGTGAGCTGATCCAATGGTTCTGTTGGTACTGCTCTGTGTGTTGTTTCTGTGAACTGAATAATGGAATAAATGTTACACTTTTAGGTCTTACACAAAATGCACATTTAGAATGTTGGTGAGATTTCTATCATTCTCTGCCAGTTTTAACATTAGCCTTTAATCCATTTACACCATTAGAATAAAACACAACAGCAGGTGGATTGTGTCTGCAACAATAAAGTTTGGACTTCCTGTAGAAGAGCTGAGAAATAATGGGAGTACAGCAAAAAGTGCAGTGTCACTGTTACTCCAGACAGATCCAAAAAAGGCTGCTGTCAGTGAAATGCAGTGCAGCAGAAACTAACTGCGTCACCGTAAGTGATGTTTCTGTCGGCGCCGGTTGTGTCGATGAAGACGGATATCACATCAGGACAGGTTATAGCTTCACTTAAGGACGTGTGAACGTAGATGTTAATGTCCACAGTGAAAGTGTTCCATTTTGTTAGATGCTTATCTACAGTCTGTCTGTATGCTATGGACAGGTGTCAATGAGCCTGTTGGCCTCAGCTTGTCCTTTCTAAATAATTGAAAGGACGATGTTGCGTAAAATGATTGTAAAGAGGTGTGATGTTTTGTTGTTTAATGTAATTTGGATGTATGATGTAGTTCTACCAAAGCAGTGTTAATTGTACAAACCAGCTTAACCAAACAAGCCGACTTTCCTTCCAAACACAAAGTCCATGATGAAAAAAAGAGCTTTCTATGAATGTCTGAACTGATCATTTCACAACCAAGAAATAATAATTATGATCATTTGTAATGAATACTTCAAAATGAATGAAAACAAATACATTAAGAGAAAAATCAAAAATCAAAAGTTGACCCAGGGCCAGGGGTTTGGTACCGCTTACACGGTAACTGAGCTGCTCATTGGATGATACACTCAGTGATCCACAGCATATCAATAGATGGGAATCCAATATTATTGTTAGGAGGTGTCAGGTGAATGACCCCCCCGCCACCCCCCCACCTCCGTCTCAAAGGTGATGGAGACAATACTGCTTCATGGCATGAAGCCAAAGAACCAATCCATTCTCTTAATCCTGTCCTTTCCTCTACTTACCAGCCCGACCTGAGACACTCTGTAGCGCTGTTGTATTTCCTGTCCTACGTCCTACTCCCCCTCCCCGCCGCCCTCCTCTGTCCATTTCATTTCCTCAGTTAATATCCTGATTGAAGTGGTCACCTTTCCCTGTTGCAGTTAATGAGCAGCAGGTGTCCCCGTAGAGCTCAGTGGACTACGGCGACGACTCAGCTTCTCTCGGCTTCTTCTGGAGTAAGAGTGCAGTTTGTTTGTACAATACAGTGAATTGAATCTAAAGAATCTAGAAAATAATCCACTTTCACTTCCATATTATACTAATTAATTCATCTCCACTTGATTATCTCTCTGTTTGTGTCCAAATCAGCTTAATTCTTACTAATATTTATTGGCAGTGAATCACAACTTTTTATGCTAAGACAAATAAACTGCTGCTGGCTGCATCACTTCATTATGTTAGTGCAAATAAAAACTCTAACACATACACTCTCCCACTCTGTCTTCATTTTTATCCTTGTTTTCATGCTACAGTCATTATTGTAATCAGCTTCATAGCTATCATTATAACAATTAAGTTGCTCATCCAATTTACTAATCAACAGCCATTACCACCACAGTAAAGAAAAGACGTCTTTAGAACGCTCGTTGCCTTTAGCTGTTCAAATCAACTTTTGCCATTTCATATCATGACTTTGGATTTGACCTCTGACGAACCTCCAAATTCAGCCAACATTATTTCTGCATATTTTTGCAGTAAAGTCAGTGTCTCTACAGTCTGGTTCAGGGATGTAGTGACGAACAGGGATTCTGTAGACGAGGCCAAGAATGAAGAATGTCGTCTTTACTGAAAACATCATGAACAGTGGAGCTGCTACTACTACTACTACTACTACTACTACTACTACTACTACTACTACTACTACTACTACTACTACTACTTTGTCTGTGTTGGCTTGACTGTGTGTGTGTGTATTTTCTGTAACCAAAAGGGCGAGGACGGTAGAGCAGTTATCAGTGTCTTCACCCCCAACACTGTACCCTTGAGAAAGTCATTTAACCTCAGTCATGCTCTGCTGAGCAGCAGTGCACTGACTCCACTGCAGACAGAACGCACCAACATGTGTCTGTACTGTAGGCAGCCCATCACAAGACTGAGCTCATGAACTGACTGACAGAGTGATCAGACGATATGCAGACGATGCAGTTCTATTCACTTGATGACAGACAGTGTTTTCAGTGTTATTAAGACAAATTCTGTCTGTGATAATAAATCGGTCAGGTCGTTTGTTTAATATGCAGTAAGTCAGTTTTCCTCATTCTCATTGTGACCTTTATTGTTTCACTTAGTGTAAATCACAATCAATGACTAAAGGCCATGGCACAAACATAAAGATGGAATTAATACATGTGATTTTATAAGTTTTTTACCGCAATCTTTGAAGTGACAGCGATTTTAAATCTGAGGGTGACTTTTGACAGTAATTTTAAAATGTAACTGAACAACAGGAAAGGCCAACATCTTTCAACGTTGCCTTGAAATTCAAATATTTTCTGAATTCTTCTGACATTTGAAACATTTTTCCACTCCTTTGATTATTTCTAGAATTTAACATGGCATTGCGCTTTTTGTTGGTGTTTTGCAGTCGTTTTTTAAATGATCTCTGCTCAAATACCTGACAGTACTGTGATATTTGATGACCTTCTTCTGCTCTAATGTTTTAACGTTCTGATGTTTTATACTGTGTCTATTCTGTCTTCTCTCCTCTGGTTTCACTTCATTGTATTTTTATGACTTTTATGTTAAATCTTTTTTATCTTTTTGATGCATTCAAAAATGTATAAGCGCCACAGTACCGACTCAGCAGGCAGCTCTGTGTGTCTGTTCCTTTAAACTTGTCGTGCAGGTGGTTTAGACAGTTAAAATACACATCTTAATAAAAAAAAAAGAAGAAGAAGAAGACCACCTGAAGCTTGTTTCAGGAAATGACTTGTGAGAAGACTGTGACTACAGACTGAAGTTTATCTAAAATATCACTTTGAGAAACAGTCGTCCTCTTGCCTTAACCTTAGCTATTATTAATTCTTATGTAACTAAACCTTAGTCTGACCCTAACTGTAATCTAATCCTAATCCTAGCTCCAAACTTTAATCTTGAACCTCAGTGAATGCTCTCAGTTCAGAGGGAACCTGCAAAGTGTCCTGAAGTGTCCCCACTGCTGTAGTATTTTAACAAAGAGACCAGCAGCTGCACCAGGGACACACGTTTCCTCTCTCTCTCTTTAAGAAGAATTATCACTGTCTGTGTACATCTGAGAGACCATTGTTCTCACAGTGTGTGGTTCTAAACCCAGACCTGCTGTACTGTATTAGAGCAGCTGTTTGGACTCCAGACACTTACACTGACTGGACTCTGGGGGCAGACGTCACCTGGTCCTGCTGTGGGCTGACTGTTAGTGCTCTGTGATTTCATCTTGAATATTCCTCTTCACACATTTGCATTGTTAGAGTCCCAGTAATTTTCCTCACAATCAGTGTAGATTTGAGTCTTTTCTGTGATACTGTATTATTTTACTCTTATTTTCTGTTCTGCGTTTTGTGCAGTTGATATGAAGTAATTGCCCTTCAGGGATCTTATGAGTTTCTGTCTGAGTTTATTTTCCATTTCTCTCTCTCTCCTTCCCTCTCTGTGCTGTGATGGAGCCGAGGCCGGACGACTTAGTGTGTCAGAGGGAGTGCAGCGGTGAGGGAGCTGAAGCTTTATTTCTCTGTGAAAGGTGTATTTTTCTCTTGTCAACAGGCATGGCTGCATCAGCCTCTCCTTGACCCCCCCACCTCACCCCTCCCAGTCTTCATCTTTGTTTTTGCATTACTCCTGCTGTTTCTCTCTCTCTCACCTCCCTCTTCCTTCCCTCTGTTCTATCTGGAGCTGTACAGAGGACAGAGTGAGTGTATTATTTTTACGAGGTTTTCTTCCATGCAGTGATACTGAAGGTCCACTTCTGCTCCCGCGTCCACTGTAAATCAGAAACATTTTTCCTACATCTGCAATCAACGACTGAGTCTTTTCCAACAGCGTGGATTTTTCCTTATCCTTTCTCTCTCTCTCTCTCTTACACACACACACACACAGTCTACACAGACACGCTGCCCCCCCCGCCCCCCCTTCTTCCTCAGGCCATGGTTGTCTCTTGAAGCTGACATTAGATAGCCTCCGTCCAACAGTCCACTCCTCTGGGAGGGATTTGCATCTCATTTGAATTTGATTATGGCTTTAATAGAGCAGACGCCGCTCCGTCCTGAGTGGAGAGGATGAGAGGGAATAGGAAAGGTGGAAGAAGCTCAGGAGAACCTGTCCATCTGTAACTCTCTGTACCTTTAGATAACTGGTTGTAATCATATACCAAAACAATACACACACACACACCAAAACTCAAAAAACTAAACTGTAACTAGATCTCCAAACATCAATCTTTTGATATTTACCATAGGTTTAGTTTCTAAACTACAGTACTGACAGATTTTGATGAACGCTACACACCAAAATATAATCTACTAAGTAAAATGAACACATATGGTCCAATGACAAAGGGAGACCATAAAGATAAAGACAAAACACGACCAAATGGTTACAACTAAAGGACTCAGGAGTTCTGCCATCATTCTTAAAAACCCAAACATTTCTATTGCAATTCTAGTCCAATGAAGAACCATATCCTCGCCCCAGCCAAACTAGCCAAATATCATGACCAGACTAATCAAAGCTTAATTCCAGCTTTTTTTTTAAATTA